CAAAAACCTCTCTGAAATAAACGATACAGATCACACCATTTAATGGGCTTATACCAGTAGCAGTTTTTTGTTAATTAACTCTTCTCGTGTAGTAAAAGACAGTCAGTTGATGTGACTTTATTAGGTAATATTGAGGTTGAAAAAATAAGTATAAACTTCAAATAAAAGAAAAACAAATGGATATTCTGGATAAGTTATTTGTGGATGTAAAAAATTATGAAATTGGGGAGCAAATAGGCTTAAAAGATCTCGGGGAAAAAACATTCTGCAATACTGTGATATAAGACATTGGTATAAATTAAATGCATCCAACAAGTGGAACTTACTCTTACACTGACTTAAAAAGACTTGGTTACACAAACAGTTGAATAATGATTTTGTTTAATTCAATAATTTTTTTATTGGAGTTCGATCCACCGTATATGAATATAATTTATATTTTGTATATTTAACAGTGGTGGGAGGATAATCTGAAAAATAAAGAAACTTCTAACTTACATGATTCTTAGTGGATTTTATATATAGAAATTCTGGAAATAATTTATTATTTAATTTCTGTAGTGCATGTTGGGGTATAAAAGACATTTTAAAACTAGAAATAAATGCCCTTATAACACTAAATTTGTTATTTTTCTTTAATAGGACGCTCAACATTTCGCTTTACAGCATCTTCAGGAGCGTTCCACTAAAACGCAAACCAGTGTTTTAGTGGAACGCTCCTGAAGAAGCTCTGAAGGAAAATGTTGAATGTCCAACTAAAGAAAAATAAGTTTGGGGTTATACGGTTGTTTATTTCTAGTATTAAAATTTATTATTCTATTTAAATATATTCATGAACATACATACGTAAAACATTATTTGAGAGAAAAACCTATTTTTTAATATAACCTTTTCTGACTTTGTTAACGTGAGTTTTAATAAGCATCGCTAAGTCTTGTGGATAAGTGGCTAACTGGTTAGTAGTAGTAGGTGTATCTATTGACCTTATAACCAGCAGTTATACAGCTGAGCATTACCTAAGACTAATGAACGAATCATACGCTACGTACTTTTTATCTTTAAAGATTTCACGTATTTCGTCGATCTAAGCCTGGTGATTAGGGCGCTCAATTCACAATCTAATTATTGCGGGTTCGAATCCCCTTTAAGTAACACGTTCGCCCTTTTAGTCATGGGAGCATTATAATGTGACGGTCAATCCCACTATTCGTTGATAAAAGAGTATCCCAAGAGTTGACGGTGGGTGTTGTTGACTAGCTACCTTTCCTCTAATCTATCACTGCTAAATTAGGGAAGGCTAGCGCAGATAGCCCTCGTGTAGCTTTGCGCGAAATTTCAACTAAACCAAATCCTCGAACTAGCAGCACTGCTTCACATAGAGAAAGTTGTTTGACTAACCCGTATATGTTAGCCAATCTAAATCAATTAAAATATTTGTAACTATTAAACCCAAAAGAAACTAAACTTTTATAATACATAACATTTTAAATTTATCAACAAGATGTGTTGATTTTATGTAAAGTACCCATTTACTATTGAAAATGAATGACCAATACTATAAGTCAGATTATTAATTGAGTCAATTACTCCATCGGTGTTTAAATACATTTTTCTAAATTATTTATGTAACAAACTGTTTGTGGGTTCGTGATTTTGTGATGAATCACAAGAAAACATTCAATAAGAAATTGTTTGTTAAGGATTTCGCGCAAAGCTACACGA